GGCCAGCAGGGGAGGGCAGTTGTGGGCGATCAGGCCGGCAGGGGAGCAGTTAGGCATCAATCAGGCCGGCAGGGGAGTGGTTAGGGGGCAATCAGGCAGGCCGGCAGGCAGGCAGGCAGGCGAGCGGGTAGGAGCCAGCAGTCCTGGATTGTGAGAGGAATGTCCCAGATTGGAGAGGGTGCAGGCTGGGTTGAGGGACAACCCCCACCGTGCATGAATTTCGTGCACCAGGCCTCTAGTTTGCATATAATGAAACAGAATATTGCTTACAAATGGAATTATGTCACTACTATAAGTAAAATTTCATAGTTGAAAAGTGTTACTAATAACAGCAAGTTCTCTCATTTGATGTAAGGAAAAATGGAGATCAATGTTTATGAGGAAAGTTGAAAATCTGATTTTTGCACATTTTCTATACTTAGTGAAGAGCTACAACAGTGATGTTAAAATGTTTATTTTTTTTTAATAAATCCCAATTTCTGGGTATAAAATTTGGGTACTTATTTTTGGTATACTCCAGAGTGTAGAAAAGTGCTTTAATATGTCTGGTATATTAAAACAGTGCTCAACCTTATTTTTGCAAAGATACCATCTTCTTATATTCATTACATGCCACACACATAAGACAAATAGTAGATGAACAATTTCCTTGTTAAACTAAAGTCAAAATGCCAATTTTGGAAACAGAGAATTTAAGGAACCAGGAATTGAAGTATACATAACTATGTATTTGGAGCATTTTATCTTCTGGCCAAAGTTAGAATTTTATAAAAATCTTAGGTTCACTGATGAGAAGTGAGCTGTGTGTGTGGGCACAGGATCTCACTCTGCTGACCTGGAGTGAGTGCAGTGCAGTACTGCAGATGGAGTGATGATGTATTAACTGTAAGAAACAAGGACTGCTTTTTAAACTGCTTTTACCAAAATACTCACTTCTCTACCAGTTATTTGTGATTGGTGGATGTTTGACCTAGTCACAGCTTATTTCACATTTCTGTTGCATCATGCTTGGCAGAATTACAAACTAGATAGCTGTTAAAAGTCCTAGAGCACCATCATAGTGCTGTTTTGATAAAAGCATATAACAAACTTTTGTTTGACGTGGTTCATACCTGTACTCTCTATTGAAATAAATTGTAGAGTACCTTCAAAAATAAAAAAGTAGTGCTAACTGCTACCTGCTCCCTTTTTCTCATTCGAGAAAGCACCTCAGAGAAAAGTAAATGACAATGACCTTATTAGGAGTAAACAAACGAACAAAAAAAGCAGACTTTTAGTTAATATAAATATTTACAGTCACCAGGATCTTAACTATCATTAGTAACAAAGTACTTGAGGCACCCCTTAGAACTCATCCAGAACGTATATCTCACGGCTGAAACCTACTGCATAAAGTTGTGGCTAAATAAAGACAATCCTGTTTGATGGGCTCGCAGCAGCTGAGTGTGGGTGATGTTGCCTGAGGAGGATGTGCTGTTCCACAGGCCTCTTTTTTGAGATATTTATTATAGGCAACAAGCATGTACACACAAGCCAAGTGGAACGAGACAAGCAAAGAAAGCTATTAAGCGAAAAAAGGAAATGAAACAAAGCAAAGTTAGAAAGGAATGAAGTCAGACCAAGTAACCTTTTTACCTCACACAGTGGCTTTAGTAACTGAAGAATTTCACTTTTTATGCTTCCACTATCCAAAAACGCACAAGTCAGTGACTTTATCCAAACATCATGATTTTCATTTTGAGGAATCCACAGGCTTGTATCATCCAAACCCTCTAAAGGGCTTTCTCTGTCAAGTCTGGGTACCTCTAAAAACTAGAAAGAAAATGATCAGAAAATAAAAATAAGGTAATCAGAAATACATTGGAAAACAAATATCTAAATATACACAAACCTGTTTCCAAGTAAAACTAAATACAGTTAAAACTAAATCTGGAGGCCAGGGTTACCTTTTAAATTTAAAATACATTTATGTTTATATGAGAGTCAGACTGGTATGGAAAAGAATTACTGGTCTAGCCCTAACTGGGTTGGCCCAGTGGATAGAGCGTTGCCCTGCGGACTGAAGGGTCCCGGGTTTGATTCCACTCAAGGGCATATTCCTGGGTTGCAGGGTCGATCCCCAGCAGGGGGCGTGCAGGAGGCAACCAATCAATGATTCTCTCTCATCGTTGATGTTTCTATCTCTCTCTCTCCCTATCTCTTCTCTGAAATCAATACAACAACATATATTTTTTTAAAGAATTACTGGTCTAGACAGTAGTAAGTTCATAGTAGTATATTATATGAATCACAAACTCTCTGCCTCATCTGTCTTACATACAAAACCAGTCCAAATCTACCACACAGAATTGATTTCAAAATGAAATATTATAAAATGTTCTAACTATAGTGTTTTACAGGTTACATTGCTAATTTTATTAATAGTTTATATTACCATTAATTTCACTAATACTGAAGTTATATTTATGATACATTTAAAAGCAGTATTTCAGCCCTGGCTGGGTGGCTCTGTTGATTGGAGCATCATCCCTTACACCAAAAGGTTGTGGGTTCGATTCTAGGTCAGGGCACATACTTAGGTCTGGGTGCATACGGGAGACAACTGATCAATGTTTCTCTCACATCAATGTTTCTCTTTCTAAAAATCAGTGAAAATATATCCTCAGGTGAGGACTAAAAAACAAAACAATAACAACAACAACAAAAAGGCACTACTTCAAATATTAAACGGGAATGTTCAAACTAAAGGAGAGCAAGAGTTCTTAAATATACTTCACAGAGTACTCCTGGTGGAATCTTATGATATCAACATGGAAAAAGGGAGACATTTATAGGTCATCTTATATTTCACTAGGGAACTGTATTACTTAAAACTTGCTATAGAAATAAATACTTAGTTGTTGATTTCAACACCTAATAACCATACCCAGGATCAATGGCTGTTATGAAATCTAAGTTAGGGGTGTGTTGTTGTTTTTTTTAAATATATTTTATTGAATTTTTACAGAGAGGAAGGGAGAGGGATAGAGAGTTAGAAACATCGATGAGAGAAAAACATCGATCAGCTGCCTCCTACACACCCCCTACTGGGGATGTGCCTGCAACCAAGGTACATGCCCTTGACCAGAATCGAACCTGGGACCGTTCAGTCCACAGGCCGATGCTCTATCCACTGAGCCAAACCAGTTAGGGCTAAGTTAGCGTTTTTTACTCCTAAGAAAAAAGGCCTATCACTAAGAACTTCTCCTAATCCCCCCAAATCAATCATCACCTCTCTAGGCTATCTATAGCTCAGCTGGAATTATTTCTAAAAGAGGTTAAATGTTAGTATAATACCATTTAAGCAATTTGATATTCCTATCCATAGGAAAAAAAACAAACAACATTCTAGAATAGTGGGTACACAGTAAACATTTATTATTTGAAAGACCTTTTTCCTCGATGTTCTAAAAGGGTGTAGATAGATCAGCATGGGATCAGTAGTCGTCTTGTAAATCTCCCAGAAACTATGGCCAGTCTTTGTGGCTAAAATATTTTTCAAGCAGGTAACAGTAGCTGATCGCACTTTGACACTGAAAAACAGATATAATAATTCAAAAGCCTAAAAAACATATCAACTATTAAGCTTGATAAATGCTAAACAACCTCCAATAAAAAAACAAAAAACTGAAATCTAAAATTTATATCATTAGGACAATTCTACACTTATTGGTAAATTTTACATCTATAAAATTATATTACATCACAGCCAAAATTACCAAAGGATTTTTAATATTCTTTCAGTAAACTTGAGTTACTAATCACTGCAATAGCATTCTCTTCAATAAAATTTGTAATATGACTACTAAATATAAAAGGACTCATAAAAATAAGTAAAATAACACCAACTAATAAAAATGAGCAATAAGAATGACAATAGTAATTCACCTGAGAAAACAATATTTTGATATTTTCTCTAAGAAATACAAATAATTTGGGATAAGGCAGAATGCTATTTCCGTCCAAATGATAAAATTATTGTCTAGAACAATTCTAAACAAACGGTAAGTACACACTTATTCTGACCAGAAGCTAGCTGAGAATCATTAGGTAACACATCTAAAACCTCTAGTAACACAGTGAAGGGCCTTCTCTTTTGCAAAAAAAAAAAAAAAAAAGGGAAAAGAAGGGCTGCAATACAAGAGCACTGAAAATAAAACAGCTGACAAAAAATGTCATAAAGCCCAATACTGTAAAGGCCTAATTCCTTTTAGGTTTCTCAATTTAAGACATAAAAGCATAAATCATAAACTTGAATTAATCCTTCACTGCTCTCTATTTCCCTACATCTCCATAGCTAATTAAACAGCAAGTCTTGCTGGCTCTCTGTTAAAAACATACCCTGGCTCCATCCATTTCCCATCTCATCTCCATTACTGCCAACCTAATCTAAGTCACCATCATTTGTCCTCTGGACTACTAAAAGTTTCAAAATAGGGCTTCCTGTTTCCACTTTTGCCCTATCATAATCCATTTGCCATATAAAAGTCAGAGTAAAAATGTAAGCATCATCATGATAGTACTTTGCTTATCACTCCATGGCTTTACATATTTCAAATAAAATCTAAATTTCTTATCGAAATTAGTTCTACCTTTCTAATTTCATTTCATGCCACCTCCTTCCACACCAGGTTTCCTTCTGTTTCTCAAACACACCAAGCTTATTTCCACTCTAGATATTCCCCATCTGGAATGTTTTATCCCTAATCATCTTACAGCTGATTCCTGATCATTCCAATCAGCAAATGACATTTCCTCAGCAAAGCCTTCCATGACCTGCTATTCTGGGAATTCCTTGGTCAACATCCCCTCTGTAGAACTGAGGGTCCATAAATATGTAATGATAGTTTCCCTATTACAAAAAGATAGGGCCCTGGCTGGTGTGGCTCAGTTGGTTGAGTGTCATCCCATGCACCAAAAGGTCATTTGTTTGATTCCCAGTCAGGGTACATACCCAGTTTCAGATTTAATCCCTGGTGGGGTTGCATATGGGAGGCAACTGACTGATGTTTCTCTCTCTCTCTCTCTCTCTCTCTCTGCCCCTCTCCTTTCCTCTCTCTCTAAAAATAAAAACATATTTTAAAAAAAGAAAGATAGGAACAACAAATTATACTTGTTCCCTAGATCTCTCAAGTTTAAGTCAAACCAATATCTGTGTACACCTTTTCAGAAAAAATCAATTGCAAATTACTGTGTTACAAATGAAACACTTAATGCCTGCAACTTTTCTGTGGAAAATCTCTTCAAAACTGTGCCAGATGTAATCTGAAATATGTTCATACAATGAGATTAATTAATAAATGGATAGAAGAATGGCTAGATGTGACAAAGCAAGTATAGTAGTAAAATAGTTATGACAGAACCTAGGAGATTCTAAGTGGTAAATATACGGGTGTTACTGCAAAATTCTTTCAACTTTGCTGTACATTTGAAAATTAGTATAATAAAATGTTTTGGGGAAAAGCACATCAGCCTTTTTATTGCAAAAACAACAACAAGAGAGAAAAATACATATCCAATAAATCAACAATGAAAACATGGCAGGTAGACATTACTGTCAATCATTTATTCCCCAAGAAACGGAGGAGGAGGGTTTGGAAGGAAACAGATGCAAAATACCTATTGACCTTAGATAGATGCCCCAGTTGTGTGCTAAAATCCTTTGATCCACACCCAAAAAATTGTGATGAGGTGCTCAAATATACCAAAAATAAATAAACAGATAAATGGGAAGGGGGGCAAAGAAAGCAAGCAACCATAATCTCATAACCAGTAAGCTGAAAATCTGTTGCAATTTTGTTTTGCAGAGAATAAATGGGTAAAAACCGTTTGATTAGCTTAATAATTTTTGAGTTATGAAATTTCTGCTCTACAATTTATTATTTTTTTAAAATATATTTTATTGATTTTTCCACAGAGAGGAAGGGAGAGGGACAGAGAGCTAGAAACATCGATGAGAGAGAAACATCGATCAGCTGCCTCCTGCACACCCCTTACTGGGGATGTGCCCGCAACCAAGGTACATGCCCCTGACTGGAATCGAACCCGGGACCCCTCAGTCCGCAGGCCGACGCTCTATCCACTGAGCCAAACCAGCCAGGGCTACAATTTATTATTTTTGTTGTTGTTTGTTAATCCTCACTGGAGGATATTTTTTCCATTGATTTTTATAGAGAGTGGAAGGGAGAGGGGAGGGAAGAGAGGGAGAGAGGAGAGAAAAGCATCGAAGTGAAAGAGCCAACCAGGATGGGGAAGCTGCAATCCAGGTACGTGCCCTTGACAGGGAATCAAACCTGGGACCCTTCAGTGCTCGGGTCAACACTCCAACCATTAAGCCATGAAGCCATGCTGGCCAGGGCTCTACAACTTCTTTTTAAAAGGACATAAATAGTCTAGCTGGGAAGAGTGACACCTTTGATTTTGACAAATATCCCAATATCTCATTTTGCATTCCCCTATCTCAATGTTCTATGTAGAACCACCTGGCAATTTTCTTATTATCTATTTGTCTAGTCTACTCTCACCAGAATTTCACATGGACATTGTCTAGTTCACCATATTAAATGCTTGGTACATAAAAGAGCTTCAGTAATTTCATGCATTAATAAAAATCCAACAATTTTCATTAAAATACTTGAGATTGAAAGAAAAGTATGGCAACTTAAAACAGAAAGCTTTAAAGTTATTGGAACTATTAATTTATGTGAAGAGACAGTATCATTCTCCTTGAATGTCAGATTAAGTAAATGCTATCAGAAATAAAGTGTCATTAAGTACTCACCAATCTTCTACCAATGTGTTATTCAGGTAGGTCAGCATTACGAGGGTCCACTGAAGTTCTTTATCTTCAAATAACTCAAGGGCCTTAATATAAGATGTATCTTTACTATGTTGTATAGCTATCGTAGAAAAATCTACTGGACCCACTTCTCCCAAGCAGCTCCCGACAGCCTCTACATACAGAAATTACATTTCAGTAGAGTTATAGCTAAGAGATCATACATACAACAAAAATTTCCTGAGTTCCAAAATATAATGTTACTCTGTCATCCTTCAAGAGTTCAGTTTCTCTCAAAGATTTGGAATAAATTAAAGCAGCAACAAAATATTGTATCACTTCCTTTGCATATCATCCATCTGGGCAATAATTTTTCCTATAGAATCATATCCAAGAAATAGACTAGTCACAGAATATAGATATTAAGGATGAAAGTTTAAACATAGCTACTGCATGAGAGTATCAGTAGACTTTAAAACTTAAAATTTTTTTGATATTAAGTACATAAAGTTCACTAACCTTAAACACTCAGTTCAGCAAAAACTCACACATACACAAATGCGTGCATGCGCACACACATAATTCATTTTTTCTCATCTGTATTATCACTACCCAGATAAAGATAGAACGTTTTCAGCATGCCAGAGGACTCCCTCATGCTCCTTGCCAGTCATGGTGGAATTTATTAAAATATGTTCACAAATTCTCTGATAGTCCTCCTTTCAAAAGGTGAAGCCTAATTTATGTTGGGCTGTGCTTAGTGACTGGCTTCTAACAAAGAGAATGTGTACAAGTTTTCCATCTCCTTGACTAAGTTTATCTGCACGTATTTAATTCTTAGACACTATTACAAATGAAATTATAAATGAAATAGAATTTCCTTTTTAGATTGTTCACTGCTGGTGTACATAAATACTACTAAATTTTGTGTGTTGCCCTTGTATCCTAGAACTTCGCTAAATTCATTTATCTCTATTATAGTCGCTTTCTTATAGATTCTCTGGGAACATATACATATATGATTATGTCATCTGTGAATAGACATCATTTTACTTCTTCCTTTCCAATTTGAATAATTTTTATCTCTTTTTCTTGTCCAATTGCTCTGGCTATAGCAGTGGTAAAAGTGGTCAACCTTTCTCGTTCCTGGTTTGAGGGAGAAAACCATCAATCTCTTACATTAAGTATGATGTTAGTCATGGGTACAAAGATTTTATGCTACACAGGAAAGCCACTTACGGTTCTTGCAGTAAATGAGATTTATCCCCAGAGCCAGTATTACTATGGACAAAGGGGTAAATTCCCTGGTTAAAGAAAAATTCTAGGATGCTGATAGGTTCTCTTTCTTAGTCTGGGTGCTAGATGCACAGGTGTGTGTTCTGCTTGTAAAAATTCTTCAAGTTATATGCTTATGATCTGTACAATTTACTGATGTAAGATATATTTCAATTAAAAATTTATCAAAAAATGTTAAGTACCCTAGATATTAGGCTCCCGATGAGAAGTTAAAAAAGACTACATTGAAAGATAGTAAGATGTATGAAACAGCTATCATTCCTCCCACTTCTTACTGGAAGCAATGCCGTCATGAGGACTTCAAGCTGGTTTTAATGTGACTTTTCCCTCCTGTAAGCACCAAACCTAAACAGCTACACTCTAGACATGATATTGGCTATTTATCTTACATCAGGTTTCCTCCAAATGGTGATAGTAAAGGACTTGAATATGGTTTTAATATGTGACTTTAATCCAGCACTCCAAATCCTCATTCTTATTTCAGTTATATAAGAAAGATATTAAGTACCAGTCATTTATAATATACATCAATTTATCTTCAATTTCACTACAAATAGGTATATCTGACTTTCCTAAATATTTACAAAACATTTTCAAATTCACAGTTATAAATGTGTAAATAACTAACTTTTACTTTATGCATAAAGTAAAAAGTAAATGAATGTCTAAGGAAGAAAATATGAAAGGAGGGCAGCTTAGGGACACTTGAGCTAAATAGAAATATTACTTAGCTAGCATCTTACATTTCCCCAATACCTCAAATGATAAACTTTTACTGATTTTGAAAATTATAACGATGACCACTCAAACAAAAAACTCACAGTCATTCAGCCAAATAGTTACCTAAAACTTCTCTTTCACCAGTGTGATTTAATGCCATCTTAGATAACTGTAACAAGCTGACAACCAGCTTCACCATTATGCCATCTTGTGGGTTACCTAGAAGCAGTTTTGGAAAAAACATTAAACTATAATGGAAACAACACTTTTCTTTATGATATTACATTTTATATATTTAAATTATCTGACTAGAAAACTTTTATAAAGTTTTTTGAAAAGGTTTTAAATCATGAGCACTTCAAAAAATATTAAGTGATACCAAACTATTCTCTGACCACAATGCTCTGAAATTAGAAATCAACTGCAAAAAGGAAGTGGAAAAAAATACAAATATGTGGAGGTTAAAAAACATGCTACTGAAAAACCGACTGAGAAGAAGAAATAAAATGTGAGATAAAAAGATATAGAAAGACAAATGAGAATGACAATATGACATATCAAATTTTGGGATACTGCAAATGTGGTAATAAGCGGGAAGTTTATATCATTACAGGCCAATATCAAGAAACAAGAAAAATCCCAAGTAAACAACCTAACA